TCTTGAACTTTTTTCCTCCTCATGAATCAGCAGGTTTTACCTTCTAACTGAGAGCCTCTTGATTACTTATTTTTTTTTAGGGGGGTTACTGCTTTATGACTGGCTGCCTGCCACCAGCAGGAGCTCTGAGCCCGTCCACATCACCAGAGAGCCGCCAGCGCAATGCATCAGCTCAGCTCCATATATTTAAGTGATTGCTGACAGAATTTATGACAGGATTGAAAAATAAAGTCTGCTTTGCCATAACTTTAAAATAGAGAGTTCTGCTATTTATTTGGCCTGCCACAAGTCAGCAGTCTCCGCCATCAACCATGCACACACCTCATTTCTGTACATTTGCAGTTCTCCCCCATTTTCCGTGGCAGAAGCACGTTGGGTAAAGGGGGGGGGGGGGGGGGTTGGGGGCATCTTTAGGGGTATCAAGGTAGTGCTGGGTCTTTGGCTGCGTTCAGGAATGCCTTCACATCTCCAAACAGCCCGGCTCTTTCGCTCGTCCTGTTTGTCTTTGTGGCTTGGTGTTTTTTAAGGTCTGTGCAGGCAAACACTCAGGCAGGAAACACTGAGTTGTTGATCGCCCTCACAGAACAGCTCATGAACCCAGTCAGGATGAATGTGAGGGCTTGTGTGTGTGTGTTTTTTTTTCATACATATTTGAGTATTTTAGATAATTTCTTAATAAACCTGAAGGGTGTGGCGAAAAACAGTCTAATTTAATCTGCATCTTTACGCCTTTAGAAGCTTTGGCATAAATCAGAAATTGCCGTCTGATTGTCCTGCAGACTTTGTCTGTTCCTGTTTGTGGATGTTGCCTGGAAACTTTGCGAACTCACATTGTTTAACATGTGGCATCTCTCTCAGTCCCCACTCTGCATTTGTAAACAGGCGGCGAGGATGCATAGCCTCATTGTTTTGCATCATTATTACTGACAGGTCTTAATGACTTGAATGATGGGAAGCTCTTATACAAAATTAACCCGGCCCTGCGTGTTTACCCTGCCTGGATCGTGCAGCTCATTGGACTGAAACAGAAGAGAAGGGGAAATAGGCCTCTCACATCCTGACATCTGCAAAGCACCTGTCCCAGGACGTGCATGCTGCGAGCATTCTTGAGCGCGTTCACACCTCCATCTCCTCCTGCTTTGCTCTCCCGGTTTGGAAGACATGCCTTGATCGTCATGTGCTTTAACAATTGACCTTTTTTTTGTTTTTGCCGTGTTTTTTCCTGCCGCCGACATGTTCTTACTCTGAGTCCGTGGGTCGCAGGCATTGCGCATTCGTTTTCGTCTGGGATCATTTCAAGGTATTTTTCAAAGACCTTTGTTGTACCAACAACAGACATATCTGCCTCGCTGTCTGTAGAAAAGAGGTCTTACAGCTTTGCCTCTTTATGTGTTCAGTCCAATTTAGTTTATTCATGTTGTGCCAATACACAACACATGGCACTTTACAACACTTTACAGAGTCAATTCAATCCAGTCATACTGTCATATTAGTTTAATACATTGATAAAAACAAAAACAAAGAGAGCACTCAAATAACACATCCTAGATCTGAATGAATGAAGTAATCTCATTGAATACCTTCTTCTGCACAAAGTTTAATATGGTAACAACAAAATCACACAAAATGTATCAATAGAAATCAAATTTATTAACCGATGGAGACCTGAATTTGGAGTTGCACACAAAATGAAAGTGGAAAAGAATGCTACAGTGTGATCCAACTTTGATATAATGTCCTTACAACAGGTCAAAATGAGGCTCAGTGTTGTGTGTGGCCTCCATATGCCTGCATGACCTCCCTACAATGCCTGGGTATGCTCTTCATGAGGTGGCTGATGGTCTACTAAGGGACCTCCTCCCAGGCCTAAAATATAGCATGGATTGAGACACGATGTCCCAAAACACAGAAGCTCTCATCCATAAATAAGCACTAATCAATAAATATAAATAACTATTTTCTATGTTTGAAAAGGTAATGGCAAATCCAGGTATGGTTCTATCAAAAGACCAGGTTAATCAGCCATTTCTCATGTCAAAGAGAGCACATGCAGTTAGTCGCAGTAAAAGCTGATCCTGTAGCTATGTCTAGGAGAGAAACGGGTCTAAATACTGAAAAACAGACCAAACTATGATCTGTAGCCTCCTTTCCTCAGAAATAGGTGGGTTAACACAAGTTTTTCAAACATAGGTTGACGTTCTAGCAATCGGCCTTTGGCTCCCTTTCCATTGGCAAAAACAGCTGGGTCTGAACCCCGCAGGCAAGCTGCGTGGCTTCTGTCCCTCTACTGTTGCCTTTCTGGTGAAGCCATCACGCTGGGTTAGCGTTGATGATGTCACCAGTGTTACGAAAGTCTGGAAAACTAAACAATTGAGAGCAACATGTAAGGAAGTCAGAGATTTATCCGACTGAATCTGTCTCACCGGTTCTGTGCCAGGTTTAATGAATGCTAACGGATTTGTTTTAACTCGTTAGATCAGACACAGCTGGCGCATTGTGTCGATATCCATGTGTTGCGCTTTAAGGTATCGTGTAAATTAGCAGGTCAACCCACTAATGGTCCGGTATAGGTACCAGTTCTACTCGGGGCGTTGCCCCTGCTGATAATGTCACCGTATGGAAATGCCACGCAGACAAACTGTGTTGCACCTGTTTCATAAGAATCAGATCTCTTCTGGAGTCTCAACATATTATTACCCATATCTGCTATTATTTTATGTTTCATCTGTGATCTAAAGTAGCCGAAAGTAGAAAACAATCATTCTCACTCTTGAAGGAAAGCACTGCCATTCATGACAAACTGCTCTGTGTTTTAACAAGGTGAGACAAAAAGTCTCACAGAGGACTAATGGAAGATCTTAAAAAATGATTTTGTAGAGATTTTAGACAAAGAAAACAAGTTATTCTACCTGTAGAAAACAAAGGTTTGTTGTTGGCACAAAGTTATAACGTAACTGACCAAGCTGAAATAAACTAGCCTGTTTGCTGCAGAGCCACTAGCCACAGCGCTAACCAGCTCTCCTCCCGTTCAAACCATGGGCTTACAGATACTTGTTCAACATAAACAGATTTTTTCAGCTTTGTCATCAATCAGGTAAAACTTGATCGGCCATTAGACACACTAACATTACAGATGCTCCAGAATTGGTACATAGATGCTGGATTGTTATTATCGTTGTCTGGGCAACCACAATGTTTTATGCATGTGGCAACGTTCAGCCAATCCTATAGCATAATGTCATGGGCATGAGCAGAGTCTGAGCAGATCTGGTTCCTACAACGGCAGGGCAATGTTGACTTTGGATCTTCATCTGGGGGGATCCCCACTCCCGACATTCAGCATGGACATGCATTGGAAAACCTGTCAGAAAGAGGGAGATGGACAAAGGGAAGGCATGAGGCTTCATCAGAGAGAGCTTGAACATGGCATAACTGAAAAAAGGTGTGGGAAGGGGGACAAAAGAACACATTGCTTGAAAAGCATTTATTTTCACCTTTACACCTATTTAATATCATCTTAAGCCTATTAACATGCATTAACAAGTTCTAAAATAATTTTCTTTTCTTTTATCATATCACTCACTTGTCCCAACACAAATGCCTAAATGGAGTAGTTTACAGCACATTTTTTAAGATAATTATATTATAGACAGGACACTGTTAAAAAAATAAAAAAATAAGATAATTATATTATAATTTTTTTTTATAATAGACATAAAAAGTTGCGATAACAGATTTCAGATCTTTCAACATCTTAGATCATAAAAGTATTTCCTAAAACCAAGTTTTTAGTTACTTTCTGGGAAAAGTAACTATAAATACTCTTTTACCTAAGTGTCCTACACATAATTGTGGAAATGAATGAAAAAGAGGGTTTTTAATTTGTTGTTTTTTTATAAATACAAAATCTGAAACGTACTGTATTTTTTGGTATTTACCATCTTTGTTTTTCTAATTTTGTATTTCAAGTTGTTCCTTAATAGAAATGCCGTAAGGTAGTTCTACTCGCTAAGAATAGCCTCTGACAAATGACCATAAAATTGCAGAAACATGGTACCTTTGTTTTGATTGTTAAAAATTGCAAGACACCTCTTATCTTTCTGATCTATCTTGAATTACAGATTAGGGCTGAAACAATTCATCGGATTAATCGTCAACTATTTCAGTAATAGATTAGTCGTTAACTGGAGTATAGAGGCTCTAAAACTTGTCTTTAGCTGACAGAGCAACCTGCCTTTAGCTGCAATTATACCAAATTGTTAAAAAAAAACTTTTACATTTAAGATTTTAAAAAGTCTTATTTAAGGAACCTTTAGCTATCCGATTATTAATTGAAAAATTAATCAACAGATTAATGGATTTGCAAAATACTGTTTAGTTGGACGGTCTTGTTTGCTGATGTCATTTTAATAATTTGGTATCTTATAAAAAAAACATTATTTTGTACCTTAACCCTTGAGACCTATTGTTGAAAATGTGCAACAAAACGTATGTATGTTAAACAGCCATGAGAGTGTTTGCATTACCCTGATGCCAGTTACACATTTACTGCAGACCTAGGAACCTTTGGCAAGCATTTGTTTCTGGCACGACAGATCCCTGACAGCATATATTATCAACAATTAAAACTGTGGTTCAGATTTGCAACAAATAGTTTCACAAAAAATAGTTATATATAGTTATATAGGGGTTATTTGTGGATGTACATAAATCCTTTTTAATCCTGTCTTTATGTCTGATTGGCTAAAACTATCTGCACAAAGAGGATAGATGGGAAGAACTTGGTTTAAGATGATGTGAATTTTAAAACAGAAGCATAATCACATCAGGAATGACTCACCTTTCTTTCTCCTTAGCTCTTTGTAGTTATGTGTCTTGTGTAACCGCAGCGTTGACGGAGCGATGTGTCGCTGAAGTCGACTGGCCTGCTGCTGACATGACACGGTGAGGCTGACCACTCAGCCTGACAGCTGAATGTCTCTGTCTGTCTCCTGTCCCAGATAACAGCAGTATGCAGAGAGGCCGCCCTCCTGGCCCTGCAGGAGGACATCAAAGCCGAGCACATCGAGGCCAGGCACTTTGAAAATGCCCTGAACACAGTGAAGCCCCGAATCCCAGACTCTCTCATCCAGTCATACATCAGCTATCAGCAGCAGCACAGTGGCCTCTGCTTCTTCTGACTGCACCACTCTGGGACATTTATCTCTGCTGCAGCAAACATTTTCAGTTGCTTATTACATTATGTGTACAATTGTTGTTATTTGTGCTGCAAAATAAAATTTTATAACAATCAATGTGGCTGAAATCTTGTGTCTTTGAGATATTTACCACATTATGCTTACTTAATTTTGTTTCAGAAATGAAAATAAATCCATAATTCAGCCCTTTCTTCTACTTTACACTGCTTTGTGAAAGTACTTAAGAGATTGTTTCATCTGATACATTAAACAGTGCATATCAGTGGAGTTTGGGGAAAATTACACTTTGGTTTCAACATTTTTTATAAACAATAATATTGAAAGTGTAGCATGCATTTGTATTAATCCACCAAACACAACTTCTAACTTAAACACACCACCCCCACAGTAAAACAAGATGACGGCAGCAATACACTTTTCTTACGGGAGGACAGAAATGATGGGAAGGCAGAACGACCGAAATACAAGATCATCCAAGGAGGAAACCTGTCAGGAGATGGTAAAGGTTTAGAATAGAATAAGATAGAAAATCCTTTTACTGTCCCACAATGGGGAAATTGTGGTGTTACAACAGCAAAAGGTTCTAGCAGAAGTGGTCCCACAATGTGGACCTTAGAAAGTGTATAAAAATAACAGAATAAATAACAGAGTTAAGAAAATAAATAAGTACTGTACTGTGTGTTTACAATATAAATGCTCTGTGTCTGGAGAGTAAATAATAAACAGCTGTGGACAATTCTACAGCAATGAATATGTGAAAAATAGCAACACCAGAGATGTGTAAAAAAAATGACAGCAGCACTTCATGTAGCTGACTAAGACAGAAACTGCAAAAAATCTGCACAGTTTCTGCACTTATTGAGCTTGTTGGGAAGGATCTGTGATAACGCTCCCTTGTGCATTTAGGGTGCAGCAGAAGTTGGAGTTTAAAGAGGTAAGATGTTTATCTCCCATCAGGACAACCACTCTAAACATCCAGTCAGAGCTACAGTGGTTTAGAACTTTAAATCAAAGTGTATGTACTAAAATGGTCCAATCAAACTTTTACATCTAAATGTACTAGAAATGTGTAGCAAGGCTTAAAAAAATCTGAATTAACCTCTAGTCTACAAATGTGCAAATAAACATAAATATTACAAGCAAATTTAATTATGTAAATAATTAAGCGTGTCTGTAGTGGCAGCAAAAGGTGGTTCTCCAAGGTTATGTCACAGTGATTAGAAAACATTATTTTTAAATGTATATTTGTTCCCCTTTTTTACCCTGAAGTTTGTTTTTAACAAAGCAAAATCGGAAAAAAGTTTCCATTTTTCCATATAATCTCGATCTATTTACAGTAATATTGATTTGACAAAAATAATTCACTTTTTAAGCCTGACTTTTGTACCAACAATCGTTTATTCAGAAAGTATAAACTAATTGTGTTTTGGCTGACTTTTTAGTATGTATTTTATTTAAAAAAACAAACACTATAATGTTCTATTCCTCTCCAGCAGAAATATTAAGATTACTGTTTGGTGTGTGTTTAACTTTGTTTAGACTCCCTGAATGTTTTTCCTCTCTGCAGCCTCAGGATCCACGTGGAGACAAACGTTCATGGCTGCTTTATTCATCACATCCATACATGGAAAACAGGCTAATTGCTGTAATCGTGAGATTTCCGTCCACACTTCCGACCGCTAAGAGAGGGGATCCAGGCGGCCATCTGTCGCAGGATTTGCTTTATCACCAAGAGGCGGATTTTTACATCCACTCATTACTGCGCCACAAACACTTCCCTCTCAGCCTACAGGTTTTTTATGTATTCTTTTTTTCTCAAGCATTTGCTGACCCGAAACAGCGCGCGGGTGTCATTCATCTATTGATTTTTCCATTTGAATGGGATAAATTGACTTTGTATTGAACTTCCTTTTCTCATGGATCCGGATGTAGCGCATCCGCGACAGCAATCAAACCAGACAGTCAGGAACAGAGGAGGGTGGGGGGTCAGAAGAGAGGCGAGCGGGACGGAGGGAGGGAGGGAGGGAGAGGGGGTTACAGTCTCCCTTGCTTCTCTTAAGGTGGACCCAAACTAACCTACGGAAGACGATTAGGGCCACTGAAAAAATTCAAAAGTTAAATGATTTTTTAATTTTATTTCAGTATATAATATGAGAAAAAGTCAGAATTCTGAGTTTAATCTTAAGATTCTGACTTAAATCTCAGAATTCTGACTTTAATCTTAAGATTCTGACTTATATCTCAGAAATACTAAAATTTTTCTCAGAATTCTGACTTTAATCTCAGAATTATGACTTAAATCTCAGGATTCTGACTTTTTTCTCACAATTCTGACTTTAATCTTTGAATTCTGACTGAATTCTGACAGCTAACAAACATGTTAGCATCAAGCTGTAGCCATGTCTGTTTCAGAGACTAAACTAGCTCTCTTGTTTTGATCACCTTCTACTCTTCCATTAATGAAATAGCATCAGGGGGGACCCCTCAGGCACGTAAAAAGTTGCCCTATTCCATAATTTTCCACCAATGTGTCACTGGCCCTCTCAAACAACTCACATATTTGTCAGTGAAGCTGAGTGCTCCCACATATCTTCCTTCATGGTGCCCATCTACATTAAGATCCAAAATACTGAGATTAAAGTCAGAATTCAGAATTTTTTCCCATATTAAACTGAAATATTTAAAAATCAGTTAACTTTTTTTCCCCCAGTGGCCCTAATCCACTTCTGTACTAATCTGTATACACATTGTGTCAAAAATTAAAAACAAAATAAATAAAACGGGGCCAGCAGCAGGTTGCGTAACATTCACCGCTTTGCATTACATTTCCTCTGATGACATGGAAGAAAACATAGAGCGACCTTTATAAACATGTCAGGACTTTCACACGGGTGAAGCATGAGATGGGTAACAAGAATAACCAGGCTTATATTTTTTAAGTAACAGAGAAACTGAAACTACAGCTACAATATGATGTGTGGATTTTCAACGCAGAATTTTGTTTAATGTAAAGTTTGTTTGTTTTGTTTTATAAATAAATAAAAAGTTTTCTTGCTCTTGATTGTTTGTGTCGCTATATATTTAATGTCTTCCCTGTCCCCCATTTTTATGCCTAAATATGTTGTGTCCAGCAGGTGGGGCGTCCTAAAACACAAAAGCAAGCACCATTTCCATCAGTTTGTCGGCCATATTGTGAGTGGCAAATTTGACTTAAGAGACAATAAAATCTGCTTGGGAAAATTGTTTCTGAATAAAATAGGCCCCCAAAAATTGTATACACATGTGTACTGTTAGTTCAATCTCTGACGTTCTGCTCTCTCTGCTTTTTCTCATAGTAGCCATCAACACCTTTGTTTATAGATGTTGGAGAACTGCCTCTTTTTCAGTGTAGTCCTGTTTCTCTGACTGTGACTGGCTGGATGTGCTCTTTTCATCCTCTGGCTTGGGAGCTGGCTCAGAGCTCGTCTGCCTGGCTGTGTGTTTCCTGGATGGGGCCGCCTTTTAAAGCTGCTTTTTGTATTTCTACTTCTGTCTCCTTAAACCCCAGTCAGCCTCGCTCATACTGAGCCTGGTTCTGCTGGAGGTTTCTTCCTGTTAAAAGGGAGTTTTTCCTCTCCACTGTTGCTACAAACATGCTTAGTGTGAGGGATTGCATTCCAGTCAGTGAGTGGATGCAATTAACTGATTTTCCTTAGATAGAAAACTTTGAATCAATTTGACTGTATAATCTGGTGAACTGTAAAATGCCTTGAGATGACATGTGCTGTGAATTGGCACTATAGAAATAAACTGAATAAAATTGTATGTTATGGTTCCATCAATGGTTACACTTAAGGGAAAATGAACAATTGACACAAGATAGAACAATCACCATAAAAATTCCTTAAAATGTACATAATCCTGCTTTATTTATCTGAAAAGAAACCACTCTGAAGCCATTCCAATTTTTAAAAAATTAATTTAGCTTGGTAATTCATCCAAGGCTGCTACTATCCCCGTTGCCACTGGACTTCTACCTACCAAACGTTTTCCTTCCACTAAACTTTATTGGAGTATCCTGGAATGCAGCACTCTGTAAAGCAGGCATCCCAAAAGTCGGTCCTCGAGGGCCGATGTCCTGCAGGTTTTAGAGGTTCTCCTGCTCCAGCACAGCTGATTTACATTAATATTTGATTAACAGGCTTTTGCTGAACTGCAATCATCAGCATCAGCTGTGCTAAAGCAGAGAAACCTCTCAAACCTGCAGGACAGCGGCCCTCGAGGACCTACTTTAGGGATGCCTGCTGTAAAGCAATTACCTTTTTAAGTGTCATTCTACTGGACCAATCTTTATTGACACTGTTTATACCATAACATTGCCAATAAATAAAAGAAAACATTTTTCCTCATTATAATGCTTTCAAAGACAAGAAAACAAAACTTATTCTTATTGTTTTACTGTCAAAAACAACCATAAATAAACTCTTTATATTTGGCACCCTGTGTGAAATTATGCCTAACAAGGTTTGTTGCTTCTAATAGTTAAACTTTTTTCCTACTAATAACTTCTAAATGTTTGTGAATATGTCAGAGGAAAGACCAAATGTTGCGGAAAACTTTACATTTCTCATCAAATGTAATAAATCAGCAGAAAGTCGATATAAATAAACCACCCGGTGCGCTCATTACGTAACTATTAGTCATATTAACCTCATTCCTGTCATTAATCATAACATTCGGAAACTAGTTGTTTCTGCCTCCTCCTCCTCCCTGCATGGAAAAGCCGTTCCACCTTAACTGCTCTCCGCCATTCGGCCTGCCCTCCACATCTGCCTAATGAATCAGGAGCGGATGCGCTGTATCCTTTTTCAGTGCTGTGAATGGCCAATGGGAGTTGCCTAGTGGAGCAAACCCAGTGCGCTGCCTTCCCATTCATTCAGAGCAGATCAGGCCTACAGAGCAAGAGGGAACGCATTGAGGACGCTGCGTTTTTCTCTGTTTTTTTCCCCTCTCCGGAGCGCAGCGCAGATTAAATTAGACTTAAAAGCAAAGAAAACAAACGGCGCTCCTATAAAACTGTTGGATATAAACTCGCAGTTCTCTCTGGACCTTTTTTGTTGTTGTTCTTCAACTTTTCCACCGGGGACTCCTCTAACTGGCTCCTCTCGCCTTCACCAATCTGCATCTCCAAGTGCGTAGCGGCGCCCCACGGGTGACTTCTTTGCTTTAACGGAGCTCCACCGTGGATTTATGCACGCGCACCTCAGCGCTGAACTTTTCCCCCACGCAGACGCCCAAAGCAAAGGGAATAACGCAGGATTCGGTTCCAGCTTGGATTATCTAACCCAGCGTTATGCTTTAGACCTGCTCCTGTTGGATGGAGTTTTACTAAATAATTTGGTTGATGGATTCCACGTTATGGATGCTTGCATATAGGTAAGCGCTTCTCTATAAAGTATTTTTATTTAATATATGATGTTTTCTGGTATTTCTTGGAGGGGAAAAGGTGCAGGAGTCGCATCGGGTTGTGATCCTCAGACTTTCCGTGACATTTCCACGGTGTTTTTCGCTCGATGGGGTCCGCATGCCCGCGTCTCTCTCCGTGGCTACCCTGTAATTAACACCCCTCCCCCCACCCACGGCGCTTGTTTTCATTCATAAGTTCCTCCGTGTCTGTGGAAGCGTCCAGATCTCCGGCTGCGGGTGTTTATCGCAGCCTTCTGCGCGTCTTGACGCGCTTTGCGTCAAAGCGGCCATATAAGGTGCGGGTTTTCAGCCGCAGAAGAACAAGAACTGGAGGGATTCTGTTAGATTGCGACAAAAATCGATCTTTTCTTGTGCTGACTGCAGAGTTCAACACAGAGAGAGGGAGAGAGAGCGGCTCCATGAGTTTATGTGTCAGTCGTGCAGCTTTCGGGCCTCCTGCAGGTTGACTTTTCCTTCAGAACACCCCCGAAGGCTAAAACTCAAATTCCTGCGCGTATTTATGGTAAAAACGCACATCAGGGGGAACAGTTGTACCATAATAACTTTTATTTGCATTAAAACATTTTTGTTTCTTTAATCAGTCCAAACCAGAGGTTGAATTTGCCCTGACCTTATTTATTTCTAATGCAGTAGTTTGGCCCCCCTTGCTCGTCTCTGGGTTCCTTCTTGGTGTTGTAATAGAATACTAAGTGAGGGAGCTCATTTAGTTCCCTTGGATCGTGTCCTCATTTCGTCGCCGCGCTGCATTTAAATTTTAACTAGTCATAGAAATGTAAATGAGGAGAGGAAGTGTTTGTAGGGTCTGTTGAGGTTTGGATCTCGGTGTGTTGGGGAGGAAAACTCCAAAAGCGTCGTTAATGCTCAACTTTTCCTCCTCACTTCACAGGATCAGAAGTTAAGACCTGTTAAAAGGGTTAAAAATGCAGAGTTTGCATAATTAAGTTAGTGTTTTTCTGCAAGTTTTAAACGTGCAGTTTGATTATAATGAGAGTAAGATGACAGTGATGTGTTTCAAATACCGCAAAAACTCATATCTGATTGTTTTGTGTTGTTTTCTTTTGCCTCTTTTCCACACCAACAGTGTGGTTTTTCCAGTCATGCCATGTTCAAGCTCTCTCTGATGAAGCCTCATGCCTCTCCTTTGTCTGTCCCCGCTCCCTCTCTCTGACAGGTTTTCCAATGCATGTCCACGGTGAATGTCGGAAGTGGTGATCCCCCCAGATGGAGCTCCAAAGTCAACATGGCCCCGCCGGATCATTAGTGGTGATCCAGCAGCCTTCCCTCGACACCCGGCAGAGGTCGGATTACGAGCGGGAGCTCCAGCATGCCGCCATACTCTCTCTGGAACAAATCAAGGCCATCCGCTCCAGCAATGAGTACACAGAGGGGCCCTCGGTGGCGCGGAGGCCCCCAGCACCCCGTGTGGCCCCCAGGCCCCAGGATAAACCAGAAAGGACTCATGAGGTCATCCTTGTCAATGTGAACAACAACTACGAGCGCCAGCCATCGGGCCATCACCACCACCACGGTGGGAGTAGCATGGTGGTTGTGGCTGCGGGGCCTCAGTACGGCGGCTCTCGGGCCCCTGGACTCAGCCGCTCCACCAGCACAGGAAGTGCTGCCAGTTCAGGGAGCAACAGCAGTGCCTCCTCTGAGCAGGGACTCCTGACGCGTTCACCACCAACGAGGCCCGGGGTGGGCTTACAGCACCACCACAGAGCAGAGCGACCTGTTCGGACTCAGCCCAAATCCAAGCCGCTATTACAGCCCCAGCAGGGGCCTGGGCTCCACCAGACTCCCCTGGAGGCTCCACTTAAGCCCCCAACCAAAGGGAAATCAGACTTTGGGGTAGTGGCCGCCGCCGGGCACCAGTTCATCTGCGAGCGCTGTGGGAAGTGTAAATGCAGCGACTGCACGGCCCCCAGGAGCCTGCCCTCTTGTTTGGCATGTAATGGACAGTGCCTGTGCTCGGCGGAGAGCGCACTGGAGCACGGCACGTGCATGTGCCTGGTCAAAGGCATCTTCTACCACTGCTCCAACGACGACGAGGGGGATTCATGCGCTGACCACCCCTGTTCGCTGTCACGCTCCCACTGCTGCTCCCGCTTCCTGTGCATGGGATTAATGTCGGTACTCTTCCCCTGTCTGCTGTGCTACCCACCTGTCAAGGGCTGTCTGAAGGCGTGCCAGGGCTGCTATGACCGGGTCAACCGGCCCGGCTGTCGCTGCAAGAACTCCAACACTGTGTATTGTAAACTGGAGAGCTGGGCCCCACAGAGCCAGGAAAAGCCTTCCTGATCGCTTCCTGTGTGTGTGCGTGTGCGTGTGTGTGTGAGTGCGCGCGGGACGCTCCTGACGTGGATCATATGATAACAGTAAAAATAGTGACAGCCACAGATTAATGTTTATCAAACATTCTAAGCACCTCCCACATGACTCCTCTCCTGGCTGCAGAACCCGAAGGAGCTACAAAGGAGTAACGAAAACCACTCAATAATTTTATTATTTTTTTGCTCTCTTCTGGATCAGGACCATGTTTTTTTGTTTTATTTTACAGACCAGTGTTTGCCTTAAGTCTCTTTGTCTGTCCTCAGCTCCCTGAATAACACTATTTTTTAAAATTCTAATTCAAAAAAATGAAAACGTGCTTCTTCCGTTTGAGGCGGGCAGTTTCTGGCGGCCCTGCACCTGTTAGGGGCTGCCTCCCACCAAATCTGTGAAGGACGATCTGTTTTTAGGGCGATTATGTAGCTGTTACCTGGTGTTCGTAGCAGACAGGTTTGTCGCTGCCACATTAAAGCCGTGGCTCCTCTGCTTGTGTTGCATTAACAAAAGCACATCCATCTCATAGTATTCTCCACTCGGATATGTTTCTCCTTCCACCCGCCTGGACTGTTCACACACGTTCTGTGGCATTCTCCCATGTTTTTGTTTTGTTTATTTGTGTACATTGTATGCTCCATAAGAGGAATTTTGGCTATTTTTAAAAAAAAGAAAAGAAAAAACATGCCTGTTAAACAATTTTTTTTTTTTTGTAAAAAAATATTTATTATGTGAAGCTCTATTATTTTATGATATTTATTGCAAGAGACAGTCTTAAATTTACTCATGTCTGAATATAACAAAATATCAAAAATACTTACTGAAAATTAAAGGGTGGCACAAAAGAAAACTATGTTAACTTTAATGCAGAAAATATATTAATTAATGAAAAATATGGCGCTGTGTGGTGTCTTGATTGAGCCGACATGACTTGTGGATGACTTTGATTCATATTTGTCTTTTTTATATGTGTGTGTGTGTGACCCTCATGGTCTATCTAGGTGCAACTTTTCTGGCAACGAAACAGGAACTTCTTTTAGCTTAAAAATCAACTGTTTATTTCGTCCAAACGCTTTTTTGCTGGGATCTTAAAATTAGTAAGCTTAAAATTTAAACTGCAATGGCAAATGACATGCTGAGCTTTGCATCGAAAGTTTTTGTTTTAATTTAAAAATAAAATCTAGCGCCCACTCATTCTAGTCAGACGAGTCACCACTAAACTATGCTCATGCAGTTTATTCCCCAGACTTTAGAGTAGCTATATTGGGATATTCCCAAACTCCCAAATGGTCTCAGAGTTGCAGGAATAAGAGCAACTATTATGAGTAGCTGGAGCCACCTGTTCAAAGATAATAAACTGAGGCTATCAAGGCTTTGCTTTATGGCATGGTTCCTGCACTAAAGGACAACGACAGGGGCCAATCCAGCCACTACCCACATTAAAGCAGCCCCCCTGCTCTCTTTTTTTTTGCTAGTGAATTTATCACTGTGGAAGTCCGTTGACCCCCCACCCCCACTGCCACTAACTGACACCCACACACTTCTTCACCTCCGGGCCCCCAATGGATGAGATCATCACTTTGGAAGTTGGTTGGTCAGGAAGTAGCAGCAGTTTGGGAAGCGCAGACCCTGGAAATTCCTCTGGAACAAAGAACAGAAATGTAGTGCAGCTGCAGTGGCGACATGGTGGCGATAGTGTCTCTTAGGTGCTTGATGGAACAGCTCTGGGGATCTTTGGATTTAAATGGTTCTTTTTTTTATTTTTATTTTTTTTAAAGCTAAAACCCGAGAAGACAGGAAGTGTCTTGTTTTGTTACTCAGACTCACCAGAATCCTCATCCCCAAATGGGCCCTTCTGTCTTCAGTCTGCTTTTGGTGGAATGTACCTTTTGTTTCCCTGAATAGTTAGAGTGGATTAGCGATTTGTCAATTTCCTGTTACCTTTCAGACCTGTAATTTGATCCCCCATTTGCTCCTGGCTTCTGGATGAAAGCAAACAATAGGAGGCCTATTTTTTTTATTTTCAGGTTACACTGTAGCTCCTCTGAACACGTGAGGAGGAGGTTGGTTGTATGGAGGAGATGTAAACTTTATTCTTATGGTAGAACAGAAAAAAGGTTATTTTCCAGCCTGGGACATCTTTTAAAAAAGAATAATCAATGTCAGCCGAAGGATGAAAATAAGTTAAGAATTTAAAATGATACCAAAGAAAAGAAATCCTGAACACATAGGAATTATTTCAATGAATTTTATGACTATTGAGGCGTTTTACAGTAAAATTACCTTATATCATGTTAAACCCATGCTCAAAAATTGAAATATCTTAAATAGAGTGGAATAAATGTAGTAAAAAATAATTATTTATACAGAAAAAAATGTAAGTAATGTTAACATTTAGAAAAAAAGACCTCTACTAGAAAATACAGATTCCTAAAACACCTGGATGTTCCAAGGAGCATTTTGGGTTTGTAATCTGAAAGTGGAAAGAATATTCATGGAGGCTAGCTGTGGCCATCCTCTGCCCGAGGAATCAAATGAATAATCAGAAAAGTTTCCAGGACTCTAGGATCACTTGCAGACATGTCCAAAGACTCCAAAAACAGCAGCCAGCTTTATTTTAAAGAAGTATTTCAACTTAACTGCAGTGACATGTTCACAACAAAAGACAGCTGCTAAATAAAAAAGTTGCCAAAGTCGCCTACAGAAAACATTAACAGGCAAAATACAGGGAGAATATAGTCTGGTTGGATTACACCAAAATTCAATTCAAGAATATCACATCCTTCCGATGTTTGGATGATGACTAGCAGTGCAGCATGCTGAAAAAACAAGCTAAAGCTGGGAATATTGTGGTATGGGGCTATCTTTGAGCATTTCGTTGTGATGTTCTGCACCTAAAGGAAGAATGAATGGAAAAGGCAGAGTTAAAAAGCACACAGTTGGAGGGGTTTAGAAACTGTTGCAACAGCCAAGTTAGCCAAGCAACTTGAAACAGATCGAAAAGCCATGGAAGGATCTGCAGATCAGAGGGAGCAGAAAGGATCCCCGTATAAACTTTATTCATTTAAGACAGATTCTGAATAGACATGGAATTAATCCCTCCAAATGGAGAGGATGCTAAAGCTTTTTGCACTTTATTATAGAAGACTTAAAATATTTAGACACATTTTTTTATTATTTCTCTGTATCTAAAAATTATTTTGAGTTTTACAGACATCTGAGAAGAAATTTGGTTTAACATGCTTAACATTTATTTAATGAGTGATATGTAGATCAGCTCAGTACCTGTTGCCCCGGGGTATGTGAAAAAATGAGAACATAATTCAAAGGGTGACAACAGTCTTCCCTTCTTCCTCTTTGCACTTGCTTCAGAGTGCATCTGGCTGCTCTGCACGCCCACGTAATGGTGTCAGCCTTGGCTGGTTCTTTTTATGCAACTTTGTTTTATTTGACTTTTTTTTTTCTAAGGAGACCTACACGGGTCTAAGCATGCATCACTACCAAGTGAATCATGATGGAAACTGTAGCTGACACATCCTTACCGAGTCCTGTTCTTAGCCAGTGCACCCCTGCTGGCAAGGCAGGAGATAAACAGTCATCACCTTCCACTGCATCAGTCAGCACCTCAGCTTTCCCCCCATGCTCATCTGGGTTTCAATATTTCCCCTCACGGCTTATAAATAGAAACAAGTAATCAGGGTTAAAAAAACACAAGAACGTGACGATGATGAACTTTAAACAGAAAAAGCTGTTTTTGCTTTAAAGCAAAGTTTATGGAAGTTATCTGCTCAGATGTTATCGGCTCTGATTTAATTTAATGAGGGGGAGCAACTTGGAAACACATAGATGAAGATTGAGAAATGACTGGTAAGTATTTTATTTCCATTACAGATACTGATAAGGTCTCGACCAAAAGTTTAGCTTTTTCAATGACAGAAATGCCTCTTAGACTGCCAGATGAAAAAAAAAAAAAAAAAAAAACAGACCTCTCCTTGCTTAATAGCTTTACTTTAATTAACTTTACTAGATCTATGAGCCTCCAAAAACATTTCAGCTACAACCACCATAAGTATGAACAATTCCCCCAGCTGGCAGATTCGGGTCTGTCAGATATTATTATAAAGAAAATAAGAGACTAGCAGGTTTCTTATTGTGCAAAAAGTTGATATCCTTGTCAGTTTATGCAGAATCACAGCATATCTCAGCATATCACATAATGAAAAAGTAGTTTGGTTTAAAAGAAAATATCTGTTTTGTTCCAGATTTAGTCTTCCTTCACTTTTAGACCTTCCTTAAAGTGTCTATAAATGCTTCATAATTATTGTAAAATATGTTTCCATTGGATGTTTCATACATACAGAGATGGCAAAAGTACTCACTTTACGTACTTGAGTAAAAGTACAGATACTTGTGTTAAAAAATACTTTGGTAAAAGTGGAAGTACTGATTAAACTTCTTTACTCAAGTAAAAGTAACAAAGTACAGGCTTGTAAATTTACTTAAAGTATAAAAGTAAAAGTAGAAACCACTTTTTTCATGCCGTTGCCTACATTTTAAATGGATGTCTGCCAATAGGACTAGATCTCCGTTGTGTTCATTTTCAATCATCTCGTCGTCCATGCTACTATGCTAACGCCACCGCCACCAAGCTGCAATGATTTGCCGCCAACGAATACCGCCGAATCTGTCGATTCATCTTGTAGTGGTGCGTCAAATGCAACGTAGATTCACATCCAATTAGATTGAATTTGGTATTGATGACGTGAAAAATAATAACGGTAACTCCATTGAAATTATTCAAAACTAAAGTAACGAGCCAATTTTTTTAAAATGTAAGGAGTAGAAAGTACAGATATTTGTGTAAAAATGTAAGGAGTAGAAGTAAAAAGTCGCCATAAAAATAAGTAGTACAGTAAAGTAAAAATATCAGAAAAATCTACTTGAGTACAGTAACGAAGTATTTGTACTTCGTTACTTCCCATCTCTGCATACATATAACGAGTCCTTTCATGCCTACCTTAACAACACACATTTTCTAACTACAATCCATTATTAATAACTATTATTTACCCTGCAGGGGTCATTCAAAGTCACTGGTGTGATCAGGGGTCGTAATTACTATTATATTATAAGAGCCATCTAGCCCACCAGGATGAATTAACTGATGCACAATGGTTAAGTTCTCTAAAATAAATTGTTAGGGGGTAGATGACTCAGAACTAGTGCTTAAATCTAAAATAAATACATTCATAAATAAAACCATAAAGCTAAAACTATGACTCAGCAATATCATTTGGCGTTGAAAGTATATAGTTGACCAGCCAAGTGTTTCAAGGGGTAAATACTATGGTTAAACAATGTTAGAGGGAGAATATGAAAGCAGAATTTGAAAAAAAATAAATAAATAAAAGGATTCTTTAAGTTTTAAGATGATATCAAACACAAGACAAGTGAACACCAGCAATAACTTTTTTTTTTAAATGCGAGCTAAAACCAGGCAGATTTATGGAAACCAATCTATCCAACAGGATGGTTCAAACATTGAGCAAATTTCGGGATTCAGTGCATTCCCAAAACAATAATTAGCTCCCAGCTGCTTCCTGTTCATCACTAGAGCAGTGTGTGAGAGGACAAACAGTTATTTACGCAGCCTTTCTCCCCCTCAGGAACCATAAAGAGTCGTAAGGAACAAACCAGTGTTTTATCAGGTGTCAGTGGCTATTCAGGTTGGAGGTTTTTTCACCAGAGGATTTTAGTCTGTAATCATTTGCTTGTGGGTGCACACACCCATAGGAACCTAAAACTGTCTCACAGTCTTCTTGTTAAGTTCATACTTTGTTTTCCAGCCATCAGATGCTGACTTATCAACTGAACCTCCTTCGAGTCTCTTATTTTCCTCCAAAAGCAGCAGCAGCGGACGGTAATCAGAAGGAGAGGTAGGAAGCCATAGGATCAATACAGCAGCACACAAACCTCAGCAATCATTTACTTAGATCCTTTGGTAATTAATTAAAAGTTGGCTTTGCTATTGATTAGTGGCTCCGGTTTCATCACAGTGATTGACTCAAAGTGTCTGCAAAGCTGATGCAACCAATGGCTTTGCCAGCTCTCCTTTGGGTAGCTGCAAGCTAACTCAATCAGTCACCCTTATTGTTGTAAACAGCAGCTTTCAAGTCATTGGCTCTGATCTCTAAATGTGTGAATTGTGGTTGATAAAGATATGACGCCTTGCTATTCACAAATTTTTTAACGCCGCTATTAGATACTTCCTGGAAGTCCTCCAAAAACAAACAAAAGTCCCAAAGTGTAGGATTAATGTGCACAGCTGCTTGGTAAAGGATCAGCTTCTTTTTCAAAAACTTGTGTCCAATGACAATAACTTCTCTTCTGTCTGCGTTCGAAAGCAGAAGGTTTAGCATCAAACGTTTTGTTTTTATATCTTCAGAAAATGGCTGTAGTCTTTGCAATGGGTCAGCTCAGGATTAATGGAAAAATAAAGCAAGGTGTCATCATCAAAGAAGTGGAAGTTAAGCTCATGCTGTTAGAAATCTACAAATTGGAAACCTATATATAGCAAAGGGAAGTGGCCCAGTCACTGATCCCTTTGGTGCTCCATACTGTAAGTAACACTGGAGCTGCGAGGACAATTCATAATCAATGTAAACAAAATAAAATTTGTTGAAGCAAGGCAATATAATGAAATATTTCGGCTTAAACAAATAAGCGTTGGAGCCTGAATCATGCAGAAATCACCTGGATAGATATTAATATAAAAATATGATCCCACTCTTCCAGCTGAGAAATATTTCTAAGGTCTTCCTGTTTTGTCCTCTGCATTTGACAAGATCACGTCCTCGTTCCTCTTTAACGGCCCCAGGGGACAGTTTTTTTATGTTTGCTGCATTCCAGCCCCCTTAACCCCCACCCTGCACCCACTTTTGTTCTGTTTTCTTCTTTGATATCTCAACCAGCGAAAACAACAAAGAAATCATCACATATGCACATCAGGTACACAGCAAGAAAAGATGGACAGATTTGGCAATGAAGAGGAGGAAGTTTAGCCTTTCTTTATTTATTCCCTCACACCCCCTTCCCTTGCCCCACTTCATTCCCTCTTTTCTCTGAGATTAGACTACGCATCCAGACAGATGGTTCCCGTCTGCTGGCTTTTTTCAATTCACTTCCTCTCGTCACAGACAGCCACTCTCCCCCCTCCTCCTGCTGCCCCCCCCCCCTTCAACGGCTCCTCTCTTATGTGGCTGGAAATAATCTTTTATTGCCCAGTTGTTCGGAAGTGACCTCCTGCCCTTGATTAGATAGGGCCAAGTCCTATCACACGATTGTGTTTGAGCTGGCGGGACGACCCCCCCCCCATTTACTTCCCAACATTCACACACACACCATGCCTACCCCTTCCCACTACAGCACCATCCTTTCCCCAGCCCCCCCATCCCCCACTTGCTGCCAGGGACTTGGTGATCCCGTGTGAGGGGACAACAATGGGGGGCTTTAGTCCCATCCAACTCTTCTCGGCTGGGGAGCAAAAGGGCGGGGGGTCATGTGGGACTTTCTTTTTTTTCCCATCACTCAACCAGTGACCGACTGGAAGTCCCAACCCTTCAGGACTTCATCCCAACCCCCCCAATGCCCAGTGCCATGGTTAACCTCCCAGTTGCCGGATGCTCACCCTTCGACCCTTAAAGCCTCCTTCACCTCCCTTTCCTGATGACCCCCGCCGTCCTTTAAGAGCCTGCCCAGACACAGATAGATAGGCTTTAATCTCCTACACTATCAGCGGACCTTTGAGTCCTCTGTGTGGTCCACCAACAGGTGGGCCTGCTGACATAGTTTGGCCTTTTGTAGAGCTTTAGATCAGGCTGGCCTTGATCCTGTTAAAACTCAGATCTCTACAAATGCTCAGACCTGATTCCAGTGAGGTTAAGGCTCCAAATTTGTTCTGACCTTTTATTCAGCCTGAATAATTTAGGGGATAAAAGACATTTTTTTGTGCATATATGGCACGTTATGCAATTTCCTTTGGGGATTTTTTTTGTGCACTTTTTTTTTGCCTATTTTTTAAGTTTTACTTCTCTGGGTTTTTCATGTGCTTAGGGTTTGTTTCTATGGGTTTTTGCAGTGTATTGGCCTTTTCACAGTTCTATTTTGGATTTCATATTTGAAAGCAGGGGCCAAGTTTGATATTGTGTTTACAAGCGGCGACCATAGAAAGGAGGCTACTTCTTGCAGATCTATTCATAATAATATGTTTTACCAGTAAAAATATTACTAAATAAGCTCTGAATGACGGTTCTGCTTCCATAACTTTCAAACTAGGAATGTTTACATCAGCATGTATGTACCTGGTAACTTTAGAAACATGTCACTACTTTTTTAAATTCTCCAGGTTCACTCAGTATTTGCTCGGTTTTACGAATAATTAAAATAAACAACAAAACTGCATTTTTTTTGTGCAAGGACACGTCAAAAGAGAAACTCTGAAAACCTTTTGGCTGGCACATAAAAGTGTAATCAATATAAGACTCTAAACTTATATCTTTATATATTTTTGTCACTCATCATGTGCTTAAAAGTATTGTGGAGGATTTTTGCGAACTTTTGAAAAGACTCCACTTAGAAAAATGCACTGCTCCCCAGAGGGAACACATATTTAACTCGTGCAACAGCATGCATTAGATTATTTCTCCCCGTGCACGCTCTGTTTAAAAGTTGCTGTCCTCATGGCTCATACAAGCTTACTGTGTCCGAACGTCCGCCCTAACCCCTAAATCCCTCAGTCACTATATACATCCGGGACTATTTAGTGGACTTCTTAGTGAACTAGGTTAACTGACCGGACAGATGATCACTGCTTTGTGCTCCCCGTTGGCCACGTAACTGCTCCTCCTCCACGCGGTTCCTGCACCTTCTTCGTCATTAGTCGGCACTGTTGGGTGGCGACAGCCTATGGCGACAGAGCGCCGGTGTCACAGCAAATCCCATAATGCTTTGTGAGGATAATGGGATATATCTGCCTCTTCTGAGTCCTTTCTTTTCTTCTCATACACTTCTTAGACACTTTGTCTTTTAAGACCCTCAGCCATTTTCAAAGAACCGTAGTGAGAAAGGTGAGCTTCAATGGCTGTCTGAAACCATAGCTCACCACAGATATACGCCTAAAAGGGATCATGCACAGAAAAAGATAGCTAACGGGACGAGCACGTAGGACGGCCTTACGTAAACATATCACCAGAATGATTGGCAATTAGGAAGACCACTTATTTAGATGATCCACCCGGAAATAAAAGATTACCTCTATACCTTTAAATTGTGTTATTGTTGCTTCCTAAAAAAATTATGTAACATGTTTTCTCTTAAGGTGGATTGATGATACAGCATACAACTTTATTTATGCCATTAATTTTAAACAACGCTGTATAACTTCTGATTCAGGTATTAGCTTAATTTGATATCAATATTCAACAGTTGGCACATGCTGCCTGCTGGCTGCTCTTCTCAGAAACTTGCCTATGTTACTTGAGAGGGTCGTATCCATGTCTGAATAAGTCATGTGACTCAGAGCGCCTCTTTACAGCAGTCTGAGCTCCACTTAAACCCTGGCGTGAGCTAAGCTATAAGTTGTTGTTAGGCAACCAAACAGATATGACCATTATCTGATCAGACCTCTTTTTGTTCTCTGATGTAGGATTTAATCTAGAGGGAGAATATTTCCCTGTCTTCTGGCCCAAAGTGGTCTGATATCAGATTTCAAAACAAAAAGGGAGACAGTGTCGTTTTACGGCAGTCCAGCTAAACATGGAAGTTAAAACTATGGCGTCCCTAGTGCTTAGAAGTTACACAGTTTTGCTTTTAACTGAATTCATTAAATTCACTTTTGAAAAATAAATAAAAATGTAAGAACTAGATTCAAAATGAAAGTAGAGCCGAGAATATATCTACAGGCACATATGCACACATCTACTAGAAACTAGACACCGCCTATCCCCATCAAAATGTTCCTGAAAAAGGTAGTGGTGTTTCAGGAGCTTCTAGTGCATGTCAGGCTTGAGCTTTGGTGATTCTGGATTTGTTCCTGATCAATTTTCTTGTTTCTGAAAGTCACCAATTGAATGAGATGGTTAAATATTGGCCACATCTGGTCATTCAAAAAGGACATTAACATACATCAAATCTGTCTTACCAATGGTAAAAGGAGGCTAACCTAGAAACTACTGGAATGAGTCCAAACTCAACCCTGATAGAAATGTACCAGAGGGCCGTTCAATAAGTAACGCCCCTGGCCCACTTCAAGATATTTAATCGAGCTGAAAGTTTGCAAGTGAAGTATTTTAAATCTCTATAGATTAAGTAGTAAATTACAGCTCTGAACTAATTGTGGTTTCTGATTTACTGGTGTTAAAACTGAGTCAAGTCTGAGTTTTTGCATTTGAAAGGACACACACAATGGGAGACTTTTGATCAAATTAAAGGAACTTATAGTGATAATGTCCCATAATATAACCTTGTAAAATGTTTTACAAGGTCATATAACGGGCATCATCACCATAAGTTACCTTAATCTAATCAAAAGTCTCCCATGGTGTGAGTCCTTTCCAATAGAAAAACCGGATCACTGCTTGACACTCAACAGGCTCCATTTCAGACTTTACTCAGTTCAAACACCTGTAAGTCAGAAAACACAAATAGTTCAGAGCTGTAATTTACTACTTAATCTATAGAGATTTAAATAACGTCACATGCTAAATTTCAGCTCGATCAAACATCTGGAAGTGGGTCAGGGGCACTACTTATTTAATGCCCCTTGTATACAATTTTAAATGTTGGGTATGTATCAGGAAAACATTTATCTCAGAGGAGTTCTACCATAATGATAAGAAAGGTCAATGACATGAATTCACAGTTTGCATCTATTTCCTCT